CGAGAAAAAGAAGCCAAAAAGATTTCTTAATGATGGGGGGTTCCGAATTTCTCTTTTGTGAAATCGAACTTCACCAATATAATGTGAAATGTCTCTAGAGTTTACCCCTCTCTCTCTTTCCCGCACTAACAAGATAACATGCTCTACCTCTTCCTAGGGGTGGTAACGGGTCGGATTTGGATCCTTGATCTGGACCCAAAACAAATTATGAGGTTTGGATTAAGATCCTAATTCACCAGACTTGGATCCAAAACTGAACCCAAAAATAGAGTGTCGGATATGATCTGATTGAACCCGACCCAAAAATTAAAATATCTATATAGTTTAAATATATTTTATAAATTGAGACTTAAAAAATAATAATGGACCCGGACCCGATCGGACTCGGGCCTGGACCCAAATGGTGTTCGGGTGCAATATTTGGATCCAAACCTAGATTGGATCTACCCCTCGGTCCCAAGTTGGGTCTGGGTCCATTGCCACCCCTATCTCCCCCGAGTCTATCTAACCCGTTAACTGAGTCTCTCTCTCCCTCTCCGAGTTGTACAGTGGTAGTTACATGGCAGTGTCAGAATGTGGCGCCCGGAAAGTTTTTATTGAAGAAATTAAGGAGTGGGAGGGTCAAAGATACTGGACCCTAGTCTTTGTGATTCAAAGATATGGGGCCCCACAAAGAGAGAGAGTGTGGGTTAGCATCCATCACTTTCCATGAACTTAAACCATAGGATCAAGGAATATCGAATATGCAATCCCAGAATCTTCACCGATCGAAACCTCTCCCCCTCTCTCTCTCTAGACCTCTCTTTCTCTCAAGTTTGAGAGTTTGAAATCCAAACCCGAAATAACTGTCTCTCACTTTATGTGATTTCACTTTTGAAGGAACAATTATGTGGTCCCGCCCTATACATGATTTGATGCCTTGTCCATTGAAGAAATAAATCATATAATGATGTGCATGTATATCATATGTCTGGGAACTCTTCTTATATTGTTGCATGTCATCACATCATGGCTTCGTAACGTCGTTTCCCGCCACAGCTCTGGCTTCCTCCTTTCTTGGCTGTGGTTCGGGCTGTTTATGGGCCCATACTGGCTCGTTGGTTTTCAGCCAAGTTTAGGATGCATGTTAAGGCCCCCAAGCTGGACTTGGTAAGCTTGAAAAAAAATTTGGTTGGGCTCGGGCCAGTAGTGGCCCCGCCCGAGCCCAGACCAAAATTCTTTTAAAGTTTATGCTTATCATATATGTTTAGGGTGCGGTTTGTATAGAGCCAAGGCTCTAAACAATCAAAGTAGAGCGCACCGTCAAATAGTATCGAGAAGTGTGGTTAAATAGTATCGAGAAGTGTGGTTTCAATATGGGAAATCTTTGTGATACCTTTAAGATATATTTTCATCTCTAATTATAGAAAAATAGTGTACATTGTTCATATCGATGAAAACTTGACAATCTTGAAAATTGACTTTCCAAAAATGTGTTACAAGATGCACTATTTCTAGAACTTGAAATCTATTTTTTTCTCATGTCTATGCATCTTGAGATCGAGATGATCAATTTGAGGATATTTGGGCATCAAAACAACCTCTTCTAATGAAATTTTTGAGGTGCGCCTTAATTTGATCGTTTAAAGCCTCGCACTTATATTAACTTTTTCTGGCCCAACCTGAGTTTTTTTGGAGCTAGGCCTCATAACCATGAATTCGGAAATGGGGCTGGCGTGGCCTATTACCAGTCCTAGCATGCTTAAAGCTGTTAATGGGCCTGTGCCATCACACAGGCTTTTGGGACCAGATTGGGCGGCATGTAAAGGCTATGGGCCGTGTCGCGTATGGCCAAAGTTTTTGCTTCCTGGGCCTAGGTTAGCATTGGCCCGGCCAGTATTTTTTTTAATGTTACACATTAAATATTTTTTGATGTCTATATAGGGCCCAGCCCAGCCAGGCCCAATTTTTTTGGTATGGGCTAACTCAGGCCTCAATATCATGAATTTGGACCCAGCCAGCCCAGGCCTACCTTATGTTGTTTTGGGTTAGGTTTGCACCAGGTCGGCCCAACCCCAACCCAGCCCATTAACAACCCTATTTATGATTATAACTACATGCTTGTTTTAGTATTTCTTCGTGATCTCGTTTCTAGAAGAGAGCTTAGATGCTTTCACATTATGGAATAAAACAAATTTCATTTTCTTTTCTTTGAGCAAAATGTGTTTTAAAACCCTGAATTGGGTGTGGATCAGCCCTCAATTGTATCGATCAAGATGCGCCAATTCTTCAGGGTCTAAAAATTAAAAAAGTTACAACATAATTTATTAAAAACTAAATCAAGTACAAATTGCCCGGTTCTCTTACCTAGATTGCCAGTTCAACTCAGCTAACCGGGCCATTCCCACCAACTCGGACCGATTTCCAGGGGTGTATGGGTCTAAGAATTGGACCCCGGTGGGTTGGGTCGGGGTCCAAATATTGGATCCGAATATTATTCGGGTCCGGGTTCATGTGGATACGACCCGAATAATATTATTATATAAATAATATTTAACATATAATATTTTAATTATTTGTAAGATTCAATTGTAAAAGGAGAGAAAAATTCTAATCATCCAATAGTTTGGTAGTGTTGGTTTAAATTTGGACAGTCACTTGACGTTTTGTTTATATGCTAAAATTGGGTTGACTCTAATCATGAAAACTGCCTGTTAATTCTTAAGCCAATCACATGATAGAAAATTTAAAACTATTCAATTTTTACTTCTTTGAGGGAAATATCCATTCCAAAATTTGCCTACAGGTTACTTATTAGAAGCAGACAACCAACGTGGATATTTATTGGGGAAGTGCAATTCTATTTTCATTTTAAGTAGTCATGGGGAACAATTATGAACTTTTAGACATAAGGTTTTGGGCATAATCTTTTCCCTTTATTTTATATAATTAGAATACATACTCCTTTAGCACACTCTCTATATGGAGTCTTTCCTCATCCTATTAAACGTCAAGCTAACCTTATATTTCTTTTAGAGGTGTTTCAAGTAATTTATATGGGGTAAATTATTTGGAAGAGGCAAGTACATGTGAATTTGTCAGTTATAACGGTCGAATTGGGTTGGGCCCGGTCGACGCCAGCCTTGGCCCTGGCCTGGCCCTTTTCCCCAGAGGGCTGGCCCTGGCAGGGCCTAGCTCTATTAGGGCCAGACCTGGTTGGGCCATTGCCAAAATAAATGAAAAAAAAAAAAAAAAAAGGGCCAAGCAAGACCGAACCTGGTTAGCACTAACCCTAGCCTGGCCCTTTGGCCACAGTTTGCAGCCCAGGCCCTACCATTTTTAGGGCTAAGGAGACCGGGCTGGACTACCCAGCCCATTGCAGCACTAGTCAGTTATTAGAGACACTACATGATAATCCTCAAATGGAATATTTAATGTTTGTTACAACTAACAAAAATTGTGCATGTTTTTTACCAGTGATTTCGCTATATCCGTAGGTAATGTCGTAAGTATATCCTTAAATCACAAATTTAATTTGAATCTTAATGTCAAGTTTTTACCAACGATGTAGAGTGTTTGTGCTACTCACAGGGATAATGTCCGATAAATTAAAGTCATCTCTATTTATTGCAATGATTTCTGAAGCCCAAAGTAGCTCTGCTACTGTCTCGGTAAAATCATTTAAAGACTTCCCTTTGTTATCACCATAAAAAATTGTTCGATAGTACGATGTATGTAATCTACAAGCAAAATTATTGATGTGAATTTGAGAAGAAACATGTCCTTTTCTAAAAGTAGTTCTAAAATGTTAATGTGGGAGCAATTTGCAGTGAATCAAATAATAATTATATAAGTTAGAGTTACTAGTTGATTTTTGATATTTTGATTTTGATATAATATTAGATGCTAAAAGATATCCTATTATTTCGAGAGTAGAATGTTCATTTACTCCCTCAAGTAAAACCCAACTTAGAATTAATTTTAGAACTCCAAAATTTGGGGATATAACCTCTCCATTCTATAGAGTAACCTCAATAAAACAGTTTTCTAATTGTACCATCTATGCAGCTGAAAAAATAGTGTTTCAAGATTGAATAAAGATCGTCTTATTTTTAGACGGTGAGATCTAAGTGCTAGAATTTTTTAATAGCTTCTAATAATTCTTTAATAGCTTCTAAAATTTTAGATTGAAAAAATCCTCCCAAGTAGGTCTTCTGACCGTAGGAGTAGATGTAAACAATGCTCTTGAGGGAGCATAGTATATCATACTCATAGTAGATATTATCAACTTTAACCCTAAACCCTTTAGAGTTGTTGATATGAAATCACTCCCCCCATTGGGCAATATGAAATCACTCCCCCTATAGGGCAGTGATTTCATGCAAGGGTTGTATGGTAATATAATGCAATCGTGTTCAAAAACTATATTAGAACCATTTGTTTGATCCAAATTTTAAAATGTACACTCTTTTCATTTTAATGAACAATCACAAAAAAGAAAAGTTCAAAAACGTTATCTAGAAAGTAAGTTTTTAGGCCAATTAATATATAAGCCGTCCATTTTGGTGAGATGCTTAGATCTAAGCCTTATAATGAAATTAACAATATTAAAAATAAAAAACGATTTTAAATTTATAAATGCCTAGATCTTGAAATTTATCAAATGAACGGTCTAGATTCATTGCTGGAGGGGACTCATTTTGGCTATATATAAGCCGCAACTTAGTTTTTTCTTTTTCAGATTGATTATTGGGAAGAAGTGAGTGTGTGTGCAAAATTTTGGGTCATGCAAATATGTTTTCTAAAAGTGTGATTGCATTATATTATGATACAACCGTTGCATGAAATTTTTCCCCTGAAAATAATATAATATATATATATATATATATATATATATATATATAAATTTCTCTCCTGAAAATTGTGCTTCACCTCACAAAACTCAATCTCTCTCTCTCCGAAACACAAACAAAAAAAGGGCAAACAAAGAGCTTAATTTCTAGCTTTAAGGCACAAGCATGTGGCACAATTCGAGTCTTAATCCATCTTTTTGCTTTCATACTTCCAACACCCACATACGAAACAAAATCCGTGCTTCTAGCCTACAAATTTACATGGCCAGCCCCAAACACCTAAAACCAGGTCAGAGTAGAGACAAAATCTGGGCTGTTCCGAGTCACACGCTCAATAACGAGAGTGGTGGCTAAGACGAGTGGGAACGGAAGTCCGAGTCAGGATGATAGACTCGGTCAAAAGAGTTAAGGGTGAGTTCGAGAGAGGCCATGCAAACGGGCTTCTCTTCCTCATCGTTGAAAAAGTAATCGTCTGCAATGGTGTCATCGTTTTGGGGGGAGTGGTGCATTGGGAAGAGCTGGAGGGTCTCTTTGCCAGGGGCACTTCTTTCTCTCTCTACAATCATATCCCCATTTGCTCTCTCTTTTCTACCATTGTGGTTCTCTAAGGCACTGGTGCTGCAACAGTCCTGAAAAACCAATGGACAGGAAATGAGTTCTCTCTCTCTCTCTCAAAACAAACATAAACACATCAATATGAAACAAAAAACATGAAGTTTTAAGGATGGATTTCTCTCTCTATGCATTCACAATCATGTTTATACAAACAAAAAGAAAACCCACATGAAGAAGAAATGAGATTTTCTTTAGGTTAGGGTTAGGGTTAGGTCTCTCTCACATACAAACATAAACACATACATGAAAGAAGGAATGGGATTTTCATTAGGGTACGTCTCTCTCTCACTTGCAATGGATCACAGAGAGAAGTTGGCATTCTAATGGACAGAGGTAGAGAGGACATTCTGTAATGTAGAGAGAGAAAGAGGAGAAAGAGATGTGCTGCCAATGGATCAGAAGAAAAGCAGAAAGCAGCAATGGGTAGAAGCAACAAAAAGTATATAGAAAAGGTCGCAGGTGTGCAGATATTAGGCAGTGGAACTGACAATCATGGAGGAGAGGGGGTTAGGGAGTGTAATAAAGATGGAAACCAAAGATACAAGAGACAAATGAGAATGAAAACAAAATCCAAATATCAATCAACCCAAAAAAGAACACCATACTTGTGCAAAACAATAACCATGCCCACACACACATATATAGCAACACCAATGCTCTCTCCCTCCTCTCTCTCTCCCTCTAGGAATAGCAGTTAAACCAAGCATGTGCAATCCTCTCTCCCTCTTCTCTTTCTCTCTTTTCTCTCTCTCTCTCTCTTCGTTCTCTCTTTTCTCTCTCTCTCTTACCATGAGGCTCGATTCCATAAGAACTGAACCACAGGTCGAGCCGGCTATGTGGCTTACATTAAGCACCCCAGGAGGAAGACCTGCAAAATTCCAAACAATTGAGATAAACAAATAACAATAGAGGAGAGAG